TCTCTCTCTCCCTCCCTCCCTCCCTCCCCCCCTCTCTCTCTAACTTCACAGGTGCCCCCTGGATCCAGAGCTGTTAGCCAACGTCCTGCCATCTCATTCCCCCTTCTGCCAACCCCAAACCACCCACATTGCCACTCCTTCATTGGGTGCCAATGTCAGGCGTAGTAGCACCGCCTCCCCTTCATTTTGGGGGGGGAGGTCTGTCAGGCTCATGTTGGTGAGACCCTCCCCCCTTCTTCCTCGCTTGGCACCTCTGCCCAGTTCTGCCCACCCTCCCACCTGCTCCCAAAGGGGTCTCTTCGGAAGGAGAGCCACCCTGTGCCAACGTTCCCTACCCAGCAAATCCTGCGGAGGAGACTTGACGAGAGGCTGGAAGGCCCGATAGCTGTGTTCATTTTTGGTCCCTGCGGCGAAGGAGGAGAGAAGCCCACCTCAGTTCCTGCGATCCTGGCAAAGCTTTGGGAGGTGAGCGGTGGGTGCTTTGGCCTGCAAAGATGCAGGGCACAATGGCCGGATATAAATGCCCGACACTTAGAGGTGCAATCGGACACGGTCCAAACAGCACCCCCACCCCCCAAACTGTGTCATTCATGGTTTACTAACGAGGGAGGGAAGGATAGGTCTCCACTGCGGACTGAGATAGGCAGCGGTTGGAAGCTTCTACCCAGGTAGTTAAGTCAAGGCAACAGCGGAGGAGATCATCATCTCGGGAAGAAACGGGGCACCCACCCACTTTCCAAAACGTTTGGAGCAAAAGCAGGATGGGGACCCTGGCGTGGGCTGCCCCTGGCACCCAACCCACCTGCGGCACCACGCTCTATTTTGCAAACGTAGTAGGTGCCCCGCGCAGTGAGGAACTTGCTGGCGTTGTCTTCCGGGAATTTGACCAGGAAAATCAGCTTCAGGGTCCCATTCTCCTCACAGAGGTCGATGGATTCTGCGAAGAAACTGCAGAAGTCGGGAAGCAGGATTTCTCTCTTTCACACACACACACACACAAAGAAGGAATGACTTTGCCCCTCCTTCATTCTCCCTTAGATCCTTCCGGGCTTCCACTTCGCGGGAAAAGGGCCGTACGCCTCATCCTCACGGTTATTTTGCCCGGCAGGAGGAAGCCACGCAGCCCCTTTAAGGTGGCAGGCTGAACCAAAGTAGGCCTCAAGCCTGAACCAAACTAGGGTTTAGTAGTAGCAGTAGCAGTTAGACTTATATACCGCTTCATAGGGCTTTCAGCCCTCTCTAAGCGGTTTACAGAGTCAGCATATCGCCCGCCACAGTCTGGGTCCTCATTTCACCCACCTCGGAAGGATGGAAGGCTGAGTCAACACTGAGCCGGTGAGATTAGAACCGGTGAACTGCAGCTAACAGTCAGCTGAAGTGGCCTGCAGTACTGCACCCTAACCACTGCGCCACCTCGGCCTGGGGCATCATCGTTTCATGATATTAAGCTTTAACTGTTCACATAGAAATTGCAAGGTTTGCTTTTAGGACATAGTGCGGTTAGACACGGGTTAGNCCGGTTGCCCCCTTGTTAGTCATCAAGACACCCCCCACTCCAGTTGCAGAGTTATTCCGCCTTTGGCAGAGGTCTTGCTGCAGCCTGAGGGCCCCCACCCCCACCCCCAGCACCCAAACTCACTCCTTGGAGCAAGAGAAGCGGGAACCCCCCCCCGCCTCCCCCGAGCAGCCACAGGAGTGGGGGGGGGAATGCCAGGAGAAAAGCCGAGGCAGCCTGGGTATCTGCACCACGGGGCAGGGAAGCACAAGGGCCGGGGGGGGGGGTCAGCCAAGGGGCACAACATGGAAGGCAGCCGCGAGGGAGGGCAGTACTTTTGCAAAGGGGGGGTGGGCTTTGGATATGAGGAAGGGGGACAGTATAAGAAGGGGGAGGAGTGGATCAAATTTGGCTTCGGAGCACCATTTGGATGAAAGATAGCGAGTCAGCTGTCACTAAAGAAGTGCTAGGGATCCTTCCACACACACCCCCATTTGCCCCCCCTCCCAGTGCAAGATGAAGCCAGCAGGAAGTACCCCTCTTCTCTCTCCAGAAACCCCAGGGGCAGACCAGAGCCCCTTCCCCAGCCCTCCAAGGACCACTGGGTGTGCCCGGTGAGCAGCAGGAATGGCACGAGACGAAGGGAGCCCCCTCCCCAATACTGTAACGGACACTAGAGGGGACTGGGAAAGGAAGAGGAGCGATGTCCTTCCCACGCCTCACGTTCGCAGAAGCCACGTCCCCCGTGGCTCCTTCCCGTCCACGAGAATCGTGGCCTAGAGACTAGCAAAAGCCCAGTCAGCTGCCCGCCAGCCCTGGGGCTTCTGTCCTTCGCCCGGAGGGAAGGCTCTGCTTTTTCACATCTTGAAGGGAAAGGAGAAGGTATCAAGTAAATAAGGGGAGGGGGCCGCTGCCAGAGCGCAGGAGTCCAAGTCCGTCCAGGTGGGCCCCCCCGTGGCCTAGGAGACCATGTAGTGCGTGATGGCGCGGAGGGCATAGAGTAACTCCGCCTGCAGCCGGGCCTCCAAGATCAGCAGATTCACGTGGACCTGTGGAGGGGGGGGGCAAAGCGGAGATCGAGCCCAGCCTCAAGGCACACAAGCCCCCCACTCCCCCCACCACGAGGGTCAGGCCTGAGCAGCTCCAGAATCAAACCACAGCTTGGCTGGGCGGAAGACAGGCAGGACAGCCCTCTCAAAGGGGCAGCANAGCAGTATATAAGTCTAACTGCTATTGCTATGATAACCAGCTTCCATCCTTCCGAGGTGGGTGAAATGAGGACCCGGATTGTTGGGGGCAATATGCTGGCTCTGTTAAACCGCTTAGAGAGGGCTGAAAGCCCTATGAAGCGGTATATAAGTCTAACTGCTATTGCTAGAGTTGGACATAATTAGGAAACTGCTGGCTTGCGCGAAAGCAGATCGGCTCACCCTCGAATTAAAAAAAAGGATCGGAATATTACGAAGTTTGGAACAGTTTTTATGATTGGTATAAGGTGACAAGACTGGAACAAACTGTATATAATGTGATTGGATAGAAGGATAAATAATGTACTAAGTAGGCTAATAGTTATTGGGCGAGATTATTTGTATTATTTCTATGGTCCTTACGACTTCGCTGTTTTAAATGCAAAAGCAATAAAAATGTATTTTTAAAAAAGAGTTTTGTTTTCTGTCTGGCAGAAGAAGAGAAAAAGGCCTGGGACAACAGCAGAATTCCATTGTGGGAGGCTGGCAAAGTTCCCCCCATCCCTCCCCAGGAAGTCCCTGTTTCAAAACAGCAGGCCTTCCCCCCCCACCCCCTCCCCAAGGGTCTCTGGACGTCCAGCCCACAACGCTCGGCCTCTTGGGCTGCCAGGAATGGTTGAGTCACTGGGCACGGCAGAAGATTCCCTCCCTGGGAAGAAAACAGCGGCTCGTTCCAAATCACATGTGGGCTGCAGAAGAGACCTCGTTCTTCAGAGCCCCCCCCCTTCCTCAAATTAAATCAGTCCTACGTTTTAATGAACACCAATGGGCCAAACATTTTTGATGGTCATTGTGACCCAAAATCAGGGGCTTTGAGGGTTCTGCTGCAGCTCCTGAAGGGCTACGCACCCCCCCCACAAGACACTTAGCTGCCCTGCTCCCCCCCCCAAGCGATAAGAAGAAATCAGGCCAGACACTTTGTCAAACATTTATATTTATAGCAAAAATAGGCTTTNCTGAAAGTTTGCAGCAGGGGGAAGGGAGCCGAGATCCGCCTGCAAATACTGGCTGCCCATTCCCCTTGGTTTTTGGATTGGGGTGGGGGGGAAGCTGCGGGCAGCAGAAATGAGCTGGGGAAGGGATGCTGGCACCGTCGTGCAGCCTGGCACGGCGTCACTAAGCGCAGCCTCTCAAAAAGAGGAAGAGGGCACCGGCGTCAGGCGGGAGGGGGGACCGCTCTGCAGAGGACCCTCTTCTTGGTGCGGAGGTAAAGGCGCCTCCGTCGATGAAGCCGAGCCGTTGCTCTGGAGGGAACGTGAGGCCGGGGTCCTCCCTGGGTGGCCTTGTGGCCGGAGGAGCCTGAAAGCTCCTCTTCCTCTTCTCCAGATCAGTTCCAACTTCAGCAGCATCATCGCTGAAAAGCTGCGTTGCAACACCTTGCCCGACACTGGCCGTCGGAAACCGCAGGTCAACCAAAAGGACAACTTCTGGCCGGTGACGGCTCGCTCCCAGAGCGCCATTAACAATTGGTTCAACGACCTGGCTGGAACCAAACCCCTCACCCACCTGGCTAAAAAGGTACCTGCAGTGCCAAGGCGCCCTAGATGGGGAGGGGGCACGTTAAGGGAAGAGGGGGGTGGCTGAGGCGGGGAGACCCGTAGCATCCGTAAACCCTCAGGGATGGCCATCGGACGGCTTCGGGAATGACTTGGGCGAAGAGCCAGGAGCCCTGGGTGGAGGAGGGAGTTAGGCAAGGCCAGAACGCGAGGGATGAGCGGGAGTTCTCGGAGGCCCGGCCCTGGCGTGGGGCAGCTGTTGGCGGAGGGAGATCCCGGAACAAGATGGGGCCAGGGAAACCGGGAGGCTGTTGTGGGAAGAGTAGTGGCTGCAGTTCCCCCCGTACCTGAAGTTTGAAGTTTGAAGTTTCATTTTATTTATATGCCGCCCTATTCCCTAAAAGGGACTCAGGGCGGCGAACAACTCCAACGGGAAGGGGAAANGAACTGCAGATAACAGTCAGCTGAAGTGGCCTGCAGTACTGCACCCTAACCACTGCGCCACCCCGGCTCTTCGAAACCAGCCACCCAAAAGACAAGAGAGTAAGGAAGGGTCCGTGTGAGCTCCAGCATCAGGGACCGCTGGAGCCCACGGCAGCCGTCTCCACGAGCAGGTGAAGCAGAGCGGAGGGGATGTAATGGCTGCTCCTCAAAGCAGCAAGCACAACAGGTCGCGGGCTCCACCGGGGAAGCTGCTCCTGAATTACCGACGGCTGTTTTTGAATCCATCTCCCCCACCCCACCCCGCACCCCGGTGCAGGAGCTCATCCCTACCTAGGTCTTTCAATTGCAGGGTTTGATGGGTGACAACTTGCCCCTGGCTGTCATTGAGGTAGATATCCAAGTAGTGGAAGAGGTCATATTCGCTGAGGCGGCACGCCACGTTAAGCCTCTCTTTCTGGATGTAATCTGTGCACTCCGATGTCTGGCTGATACTCGCATACCTGTGCAGAGAAGAGAGAGTTGCATCCTTTCCCATGGGCAGGTGGGAAGGGCAACCTGAAAGACCCTCCAGGATGCCCTGCCACTTCTTAAGGGCATCAGCAGCCCTGCCTGGCTTGCTTCGTTTCAGTTAGGCGCCGCTGCCCACGGCCTTTAGCAGGAGGAGCGATTCTGAGCGAGGCTGCCGTGCCATGCCCAGGCCCGGCTCAACAATGGCGTGAATGAATGCCCCCTTCCCTAATATGGGAAGGAGAGCCGGAGGGAGGAGCTGGACAGCTCTACCTGGAGGGCGAAGGAGGGATGGGGGCTGAGGAAGGGAGCAGCAGCCACATGGGCGGGAAGCGCCTACCCGGAGGAGAAAGAGTAGTTGTGACGGGGCTTCTCTCGGCTGCCCCAGTCGCAGATCACGTAATCATCATTGTGGCAAATGCAATCCACTGTCGGGAGAAAGAGAGAGCAGCTGTCACCGCCACCGTGCTCCGCCGGGGCTCCCTCCCACCTGGGCTCAGCGGAGAATGGGTCCCCACGAGGCTCCAGGGATCTCGGCCTCCCACACCCCTATGGCGAGAAAACAGGCAAGGGGGCCAAGTACCTTTAGCCTGGGGGCCGCCTACCGTCGGCTGGCCGGGGGCCACCAGCACCAAGAGGAGTCCCAGCAGGGGCCCTGGCTGGTCCAAGACCCTCATTTTCAGGCGCGAGAAACAGCGGCTGCTCCAGAAGTGCCTCTTCAGAGTGCGCCTCGAAGCAGTGGGGGGGGGGATGTGTGATGAAATCTTTATCTGCGGCTAAGAGGCTTCCGCCGTCACTTGTTTCCTGTGGAAAGTTTGTGGCGTGAAGTCCTGGAGCTGTTGAAGGCCCCAGGGGGTTTCCAGAGGGGCCCAGAGTCATCGTCGGAGAGCCATGCAGAGCAGGGGACCCTGCGGGGCAGGGGGGGGGGTCTCGCCCACCCTCCAGCCATGGCAGTGCCACCTTCTTGGGGGTCTCCTCCGGGAGAACGTGGTCCTGCCCTGTTGTTTCCCATGGAAGGAGATGCCTTGGGCTTGGTTTGGGTGTGTGTGTGCCCATCTGGGAGACCCCATGAGAGCATCTAGAGGAGAACAAGGTAGTCAATGCTGGAGGGGAGGGGGGCTCAGCCTCTTCCCTGGCAGCAAAGACCCCCCACCCACCCACTTTAAGTGGCTGTAGCCAAAGGATGGGGAATTGTTGCTGGGCAGCCATTCTCTCCCCTCCAGCATCGCATCCCAGAGCATGAGGCACATTCCTGCCCCGGCAGGGCTCCTCCACAAGGGGCTTCAACCGTCCAGGTGACCCAACAGGTGAGGCTCCCAGGTGCGGCCCCGTCTCCGCCTCGATCTGTTGGGACCGCGGGACGCTGCAGTGACCGAGCTCGGCCTGCAGGGGGAGACGCCGGGCCGTCCTCGGCCATCTCCGTCCGCCCTCGGCAATTTCCGTGCGCGGCGGCGAGGAGGGAGGGCCCCGGCCGGGCGCGTCATCGCTTCCGACCGCCGCGGCGGTGCTCCGCTTTTTGTCCTC